CGTATCAAGAGTGAGCTGGAACAAACTGGAGAAGGGAACGGGACTGGAAATGAAATGAGGGAAAATTTAAATGATATGAATGATACCAAAAAAGTGGAGAAATGTAGTACAGCATTTGAAAAACAGTCCAGCAACTCAAATAACAAGAGCCGATTCCTACATTCGCTGGAGAAAAAACTTGAAAAATTCAGGTCATCAGGTGACTGTATTCCATCAATCAGTAATTCTGGCAAAAGTCGTGTAGACAAAGCCATTCACTCTCTGCGTGAACATAGCTTAACACCTCGTGGTGGCGATATCATTACTTCAGAATCACACCTTTTGAAACGTGCAGTTTCTGTGAGTGAGTGTTGCACTGTTGAGTCAAGCTCCAAAAACCATAAGCCATTTGTGAAAGAAAATGCTGCTTCGAAACTGGGAAGCAAAGTGACTTCTGTTCTAGGTTTATTTCGGAAACTAGAAGATACTCCAGGTAAAACTGGTAAGTTATCGCCTCCTCGACCTTCAGTGTTATCTCGTCTCAGACGTACTCAGTCAGTGTATGGTGGCTCTCGGAGTGACAGTGTTTTATTGGACCCTGGCGCAGATATCGGCGGGTCCTCGGAATTCAAGCCTGTTCGTCCTTTACGTTTGAAGAAAGCTAATTCAAATTCTTCTGTGGTTAAGAAAAACCCTGTTGAAAGTCATGCGACAATTCATAAGAAAGATTTGGAAACTGGTAAGAAGACAGAGACCCAGTCACAGAATCCAGGCTTAAATATGCTCGAAAATAAAAAGGCAGCAGAGTTAACTGTTGAAAATGTGTTGGGCAATGAAGCAGCTGTTCATAATTCCAGCAACGTGCAAGAGATCAGTATATCCGAACGAGGCATTGCAGTAAAGCAGCAGGGAAGTGGTGTTCCAAAACTTATAAAAAGAGGCAGTATTAAATCTAAAACAAAGAACATAATTGAAACAAGTATCAAAGCTCAACCTAGAAGTGACCCACGTTCAGATTCAGATGCTAAAAGTGCACATAAACTTGAGCTGGATAAATGCTCTAAGGATCTGTTTAATATGAGGCCACTAACGGAAAGCAATACGAAATTAGTTCAGCCTGATACTCTCACTGGATTGAAGGGGTTGGTAGCAGTTGCACCAGAATCAACTGATACTCTTATAGTGAAGAAACTGGAGACATCTGTAGATACAAATGAGGGTTTAAGTTTGGTGATGCAGGAAGTAACATCGGCTGCGAAAGCAATGTGTATCCCCCATGATTGTGGAAATAAAAATGACTTTGTAAGAAGAGAAAATGATGCACAAGTTTCATCTAAGAGTTGTGTTGACGCAGGTAAAGCAGAGGAACTGAAGCCGTGTACAAATTCTGGAATATCGCCAACCACAGATAATGCATTTGATAATTCACCTGTAGATGATTACAGTTTGAATGATGATGAGGTAAAATTTGCGGATGTTAAATGTCTCGATTCACACTCATATCCAGCTGATGATTCATCTGTGTTATCCCCAGCAGATGAATCAGAAAGTTTCGATTCATGGTCTGTTTGCTCAGACGCCGAAAACCGCGAGTTTCCACCGTCACCTGTTCCTCTACCAGGAAATGATGTTGAAGAAAGTGTCGGTGATAGAATACGTAGGAAAAGCTTCTACTCACGATTTAATGATGTTAAAAAGAGACATAGAAAGTCATCCCTCTCTCCTGTCGCCTGTCTTTCGTCTTCATACCGAGATACAGATTCTCTTTCCTACCAACATCATCCACGAAATTTCTCGAGGAAAATGGACCATCCTGCAGACTATGCCTCTATGTATCACCTTCGGAAACCGTACAGAAGCCAGTCTGTGCTTGCTGAAAATGATTATGATGATGGATTAGCTACATATAGCAGAAGATCATCAGTTTCTCCTAGATCACACCCAAGTTCTTATACTGATTATGATTTTAAACCTTTGATTACAGAAAATGTGACCAAAGACATGAATGGATTTGTAGATGATTTTAGCTTGACTGATCAGAATTATTTGCCGAAGCACAACCAGGGGACTTCGGTATCATCAGGTGAAGGCATGCAGACCAGATCGACTGCTGGAGAAAATGTGTCTTTTCTTGGAGGCAGTGTGGAAAAACTTCGAATGCCAAGGCATTTTAACCATAATGTAAATTTCAATACTTCGCAATATCAGCCTTTATATTCAGATACCATAAGAAGGGGCAGTGATTCTCGTCTTTCAAGGTCTACCGAGTCTGATATTGGAACTGCCATTGTTAAGTCTCGTTTGCCAACGATATGGAATCAGCATTTGAGTGTGGCACCAGGGTATGCCAGTAGCAGCAGCAGTGTTGCAGGTACGAGTTATCCTGACGATGCCGTGAGGTTAGGACTGGTCGCAGGGGAGACTTCGCCATTACATGGGAAATATAATAGGTAAATTTTCAACCTGAGTGCTCTATAAAATCTTTTGCATGTGTTCTTAGATTTGAATTCTAGTAAATTTATATAGTAGATTTTCATTAGGATTATTAATATATTGCCATGTTGATATTGAAAATTTTTTATTTCAAAATTTCATGATTTTGTTACATGTATAGCGGAACGGAATAATCAATGCGATGTTTTTTGTTGTAACTCAAGAATGATTATGTAACACTTAATATGGGTCATGTGGTATGTTATTTTAGATAAGGGATGAATAATCTGTGATCTGCAGGGCAGATTTATGTATGGGGGAAAGAATTTTATTGAAGAATATTTTCACTAATGAACTTCCTTGATTGCAAAACGTTCTGGTCTACAGAAGCCTTCAGATTCTGCAATTACCGCTCGTTCTTAAAATTGTCCATATCCTCATATTAGGAAGTTGTATATCGTTGTATAATGTCCACTTAATGTCTGCTTAAGTTTGTAATTTTACTTAAATATTGATTGTTCTCAAACATGCCTCTGACCTGAAATGTAAAATTACAACTTCATATTAATCTTTATGTTACTTTAAGATAATTATGTAATTTTGTGTTACCTGCCCCTTCTGGGTTTGTAAGGACCTTGGTTGGGTTATTTATGACTGTTTATGATTCATAATTCGATATCTGTAGAATTGCATTTGTATTGTACGAATTTCCTACAAATGTTTTATATTATCAGAAGTGGCTGTAGTTTTTCGTCTTGTGAGAAATGTTTATAATATATCATATTTTGTTGTGGTATAGTTAGGATTTATGATGTTTATTTTTTGTCTTGAAGGTATAACTCAAACAGCCCATTGGATGTGCCATCCTCAGTGTTTAATGGATCGCCTACGACGACTGGAGAGAATCTCTGGATGGAATCCGAATGGCCAGTCGCCCCTCGCTGATCGTACAACACAGAATTGGGTCGGAGAACTTGGAGATTGCGTAAAGAGCTAAAATTTTGTGTGGAGGGATGGATATAGCTAAATGTTTTATGTACATCTGCATGAAACAGATGGATTAAAGAACAAACTATTTGTATGCATGGGATTGGTAAAAGTAATTATAAATACAAATATTTTGATTTGAGTTGTGACAACCTTGCAGAGGTCCATGTCCACAGCTGATATATCAATCCCCCCCCCCATTTTTTTTACACTTTTACCATACAAAAAATTATCTACCTATAACTTTCTTCTCCAGTATCCTCAACTAATTATCAATAGAAACAAATTTTTGTTAGAACAGAGCATAAACTGTATGGATTCTATTACATTTGAAATTTTAAAATAATTATTAAATACGTTTTTCACTGGACCATATTGTTATCTTTTAATTGTAGCTGTATGAAGTTGCTGTTATGTTTATACCGAAACCCACGCATTTTGACATCGGAGTGAATTTATCGAGATTGTTGTCGGAGTGACCTTTATGTCGGCTATGTAACTCTTTGGCTTTGTGCCTTTTAGGGGTGGGAAAGTATATAAGTTTTTGAGTGAAATTTGAAATACTACTAAAATATGAGCCCACAAAAGCTCGTGTACATGTAATAGAAAGTTAAAAAATTGGAAAAGAGGAATGCTTCCTATTACATCGCACGAACAGTGAAACATTGTGACTGTACAACATATAAAACTGCTGCAAATTACGGACAAAATAACTTACAGTTTGGCATCAGTACCAGCTTTCAGCTGCATTCACAGGAATACGAGTATTTGTCACTCTTAAACTTATGTAATTTCAGGTTACAACACATGTTTTAATTATGGCATTTTGTTGAACTTTACTTAGTACAGACATTACTGCCTTCTTCTAAAGAAATCTGCAATTCATATTGAAGAATGTGTGACCTCTCGTTGGCCAATGTAAATATTTACAGTACATATCCTCTGTATGGGCATGGAGCGCAATCATATAGGAAGAAAGAGCTTAAAAGGGTGTAGGGTCTCTCTCTCAAAGGGATTATATGGTTAGCTTGGGAAAAAATGTGCAGTTTGTGTAGCTCAGTGGGACTGGAAATATTCCTTCCTTAGAGGCTTTTCTGAGAACCCTTTTAACTCGTTAAAAGATTTAGGGGTTTTCTTCCCATTTGCTAACACTCGGTGCTCAGAAGAACATGTGTACTATAAGTGTCTGCAAAGACTGCTTAGGAGTTACACTACCTTAAAGATGAAGACACCAAGTATTTCTGAAACAATGCTAACACAGTCTACTTGTAGGATTTTAGGTTTTCACGGCGGCGAATCTGAAGATTACGTCTTCTGGGTTGTTGCGCCGTTTAGTCCACTCATTTCCCTGATGATGGAGGCATCAAGGACCTCTGAGACTACACGGCTTAACAACCCAGAAGACAGCAAACTTCACATTCTACTTCATTGCAGTCATCTTCTTCTTCTTCTTGTAGCGTTATAACCCTATGTGGGTCTTAGCTTGTTCGACGAGTTTTTTCCATTCTGTCCTATCATTCACAATTCTTCTCCATCCCCTCACTCCCATCGTCCTCACATCCTGCTCCACGTCATCTATCCATCGTTTCCGTGGTCTCCCTCTTATCCTTCTTCCCATCCGTCTCCATTTCAGTGTCATCACCAAAAACAGTATGCCATCAGAATAGAGAATATTGACTGCCAACATAATGGAAAAACAACAAACAATTGTTTATCAAATGGGACCATGCAGTTAAACCAGTGTAGTCTATGGTGTAATGGTAGTTGATATACGGTAAAGAAGTAGACAGACAATTTGCTATTATTCTGCCCTTAGTGTACCACCTCTGTATAGTGTGGATATAAAATCGTTTAGTCCTGATTTTAGTCGAGATGCATTATCCTTATACCCCTTGCATTGCGTACTATTTGTAAACTTTTGCTTCTTTGTTATAAATAATATTTTTATTTGATCTGTTTTTAAATTAGTAAGTATTTTAAGATCGTAATACTTGTAAATCCAACCTGAGGTCTGACTCGAGTTGTATGTGGAGTACGGTAGTCAAGTGTGGTACGGAATCAACTCGGGTGATAAAATTAACTGGTACTGCAGTATAGATTGACGACACTTGCAAAATGTATTGTCATTTAATTTTGTAGAACAATTTATTTTCTGTGCTTGTATAGTAATGAGTTTTCATCACTAAATGTGAACACAGCTTTGGTTTGTTCTTGTTAAATAAGTTTTACACGTTGCAGATAGTCATGACTATTTCATTTATGAAGAATAAAATTTACAATTTTTAATATTTGAAGTTAATGTGATGTGAACTTCTTCACATTGTGGGTACTGGCAAATGTAATATAATGTTAACATAGCATACAAGTATTTCTGAATTATTCTCTGTCATTAGGAATTTTTGTTAACAAACTTTCATTAGTAGGTATTTGCATATTGGTAAATGTGTTTGTAAAAGAATAGGTTATGTCTCTATGCCCATACATATACATCAGTGGTCCCCAACCTTTTTGTGCCTACAGGCACATTTGAGAGTTTATGAGATCGTGGCGGGCACCAACCAATTAAAGCCAAATCTTCTTTTCTCTGGACAAATAAGACATGGACACCAAATAATACGCAAAACAACACGACGTTTAATGATACAAGAAACCATGCAATCAAAAATACGTACTTTTATAAGTACAATTATTATAACTCAAGTGGGAAGTTAGTGTGATGTTTGGCGCTGCATTTCATCGGCCAGTTTTTCAAATTTGGGAGTGTAGGATGATGTTGCTGCTCGAAAACAATCGTCAAGATGGGCGTCAGTAAGTCAAGATCTGCGCTTTGATTTTATAATGTTAATGGTCGAACGGCCTTCATTATTCAGTATAACCTCTTTCCGTAACAACGCGGGCACCCAAAAAAAGCCTTGGCGGCGCCCGTGGGCACCGCGTTGGGGACCACTGATTTAAGGTACTGATTCTGAACAAAGGTTACATATAGCTCATGGGGTATGTGAGTTACATTTCATATACTGTCAATCGTAGCTCAAGAGGACCTACAAACATTTTTATATCTCATGATTATATATATTTTGAAATAACAGTTAAGTCCCTATGAGAAAGGGGTATGTGAGACCAAGTGGTTCATGGATTGAAAAAGTTACAGAAGTATTGATTTAAAATTTATTATGCAATAGCATAAATGTCAAGAAAATGGTGCTAATGGTGTGTTGAAGTGAGATACACTATACTGTATAGTTCAATAATAAATTATTAATATACTGAACACCAATCTCTCCTGTTAAAGGTGGCCGATATTATTCTGTAATCAGTAAAGTGTAAGTCACGTTGAAATATATTTATGTCTGGTTACATGACGAACGCTCTATCCTTGCATAAGGTTGACCCGTCATATGTCTCCTGAACATCGTCTTTTGCTTAGGTGTTGTATTTGACCATAAAATTAATGTTGTTCTTTATAAAACTGTGATTTCTTGTCACGTCAAGAACTGGGCTGTGTTGGTGGAATAATATTTGTATAAGTAAACTGTTTTGACAACAGTATCGATGAAGCCTACTGCCAAGGAAATTACACAAGTTTTGTAATTATATTTTAGCTGCAATATCGATGCTAATGTTAATATAAGTGTTACTTTTTTTCAGTATTTGACGAGACGAGATAAGGAGTTTCTCCATTTATACTTTTCTTTTGGTAAACATTCTTACCCTCCAGCTGTTATGACTGAGCGGGGCATGTGGAGGGGTAGATACGTAGTAGTTTAAGGGAGGAAGGTTTGGGGATGGCTTGCGTTAGCCATGAGATAATAACAAAAGTAATAATAATAGTGAGACAGTTGCTTTATACACTTGACTAACACTGAGGGAAGTGTCTTAAATTAAAATTGGCTTTACAGTAGTAAATGATGCTGTTTCTTTCTTTTCTTTTTTTGTATATTTCATAACTGGCCGAGTTATTTCTTAAATTCTAAAAATTGTTATTTTGTGAGTTTTAATCAGATTGTAGAAAATATGAAATTGTGTGCTGAAGAAAAATGTTGGATCTAAAGGAAGTGATGTAATTGGGGGTGAATCAGGTGAAAGTTGATGATGGCCGTGGAAGACACGTGAGAGGAGGTGGAGTATAGTAATTTTTATATCGGTGAGTACATATGATAAAATTGAAAGTGAAGCATCATTAATTCTCACTGTAGTTACTTGATGGATACTTTTATGTCGTATGTTAAAATATTGGTTTCTCGCATCTTACATAAGGATAAAGGTCCGTTATTAAACAATGTTTTTCTGCTGTTTTGCCAATACAGTAACTGCAAATTTGTTAGAATCTCGGTTATATTTTTGTTAAAATAAGAATATGTTGATATGGAGTCTTGTTTGCTTTTGCTTGTCTCTCGTTGTGGTTTAGTGTCCTTACTTGTGAAGATTTTTGATCCTTTAAGTGCCAATATTTTTCTTAAACTTAACATTTCAGATCAGTTTCGACTCTTCATTTTAGTAGCAATGCATTAGAGCAGTGGTATTCAACCTGGGGGTACGCGTACCCCTGGGGGTATGCGAAGACATCTTAGGGGGGGTACGTAACATTTAAAAAAAAATGTATTATTTTATGATAAACACTGAATAATCAGTAATGTAATTTATTTAATTGATTTTAGATGTAGATTATATACTATGTATAACTTGAATTATACACCAACAACTTTGGGGGTACAAAGTTGAAGAGAAATTATATCTGGGGGTACGTGAACAAAAAATGTTGAATACTACTGCGTTAGAGGAACACTGCTGTGATTTTAGAATTCATATATTTTGTGGATATCACATACTTTTGGCTTTCCATAAGTGGCATATAATGCTGGAATGTACCCAGAGCTTTGTGTTAAGAGATATTTTGATAATGTGTTATTCAGAATTGTTACTTGTTAACTTATTAAAAACTAAATAAATGACATGGACACTTTTGCTGTAAAAAATAGATTTTTTTGAAAAGGCAGAAAGAAATAAACTTTATTGATGTTATAATTTTTACTATAATTAAATCATTGATTAGTTTTATTTATTATTAATTGAATTTCTGTCTTGCTATCTGTTATAGAACATATTCAGCAAGGTATATAAATACCCAAATCCCATATCTGTGTGCTGCTCTTTAGCAACTATTTGAACATGTATTGTGAATGTTTGGGGATTAATAAACCAAATAAAGCTTTTCAGTACATAGAAATGAAGAAAAGCTGATACGTAATTTACTTTCTCTGTGAAGATAACACTTTTTTTAAAATTACAGTGAAAATTTGACTGTTCTCAAAACACAAATTGGTATTCCATTTTTATTATCTCTGTCCCAGTTTTCTTTGTGTTACACTGCCTCCATGCAAGGGTTTTTCTTAGTGTACTCTTGAAATTTATTTTGTACACAAATATTTAAATTTATATTTAACTGTATTTGTTACTTATTTTATAATTCCTGAACTGCATTTTATTTGAGGCACGTAATAATCTGCAAGTGATCCCAAATTTAAATGTGTAATTGGTTTAAATCCAAGATCAGGCTGCCCTATTTGTATGATTTTTATTCGGTCACGTGACGTACCATATAGTATTAAAGTGTGTAGATAGAGTTCAGTTACAGAATTGCTGTAAGAAAGCGTATGGTAACTACTCGTGGGGCATCATTGGACCTTATATTGTTTGTAGAATGTTACTTCTATGACAAACATTTGCACATCATGAGCGAAGATTCTGTCATTTTACAGGTGCCTGGATATGTTTCGGTACACCATTGCGCGGCATGCAATTTTTACAGAAATTTGTTTTTGTTGAGATTTATTTGAGTAAACGAACCTCATTTTGATCTCTTACACGTTATATTCATACAGTTCCATGTGTAGGTAGAAAGGAGATAGCATTAGTTTCTTTTGACTCTTGTTATGTTCAGGTTACGCACTACAGCTGATGTCAGTATTGTGTTTAGTGTACATTGTGTACGTCGAATATAATCTTATGTTACTGATAAGCGTTGTTGAATTATTTGTAAATATTAATAAGTATAGAGTCTTAAGTTCCTTCATATTCATTTTGTAATTAGGTATAATGCAAGAAGCACAGTTAAAGAGTAGTTAACCTTACAAACTGGGATACTTGCTAATACGCACGGAGCGGCGTTGCCCGTCAATAGCATTGGAGTTACGCTTCTGGGTTAATCTGTGTTCTTTGATGTAGTGTTGCACCGAACGTCTTTCGGTGTGGTTGTGATAGTACGAGTATTTTTATAAGGTACGTATGCTATTGTGTGTAGTAATAGGGAGGGAAATATGATATTACGCATTTATTATTATTGTGATACTTGTAAACTTTAGGTTTTGTGTTCGGCCAAAACTTGAGTATGGATCTCTCGCCTTAAACTCAATTAAATCGATAGTGTTCATCTAAAATTTGCAGACTTTTTGCTATTGCAGATTCTTTGTGATGTTCCAATAATTATGAAAGGGGCATTAGATTGAAATTATCAGTGATTTATTGCGGGCGAATGCTTCTTGATTCCTCATTAAAATTTCTAAACAAAAACAAACAAAATTAGTTGTTTTCCGTATTTTTGTCTGTACGTGCACCTCCTAGGATGATTAGAGACATTATAATAAGCCACATTTCAAGGTCAGTGCTTCAGCTAGATGTGTTTTCATGCCAATACTGATATTTTAAAGCAAAAATATGTTCCGCTTACACAAGGGTATTCTGTAACAGTATAATCAAATTTCATTCTTAATTTTCTTTTTTGGCAATAATTCGGAAGTTTTATATTGCATACTTTGGACTATGTTTTTTTATATTAGATTTTGATTTCTTACTTCATCAACGGATTTAATTATGTCAATCTGAAGAAACATCCTTTTCGTAGATGAATTAGCTGTCGACGACTAAAAAGAAATACACCGATCCCGGAATAATATTATTCATTTATGAAAACGAGCGGGTCTTAACAACAAATTCTAAAATTATTATTTATGCATTGTTGTGCTTTTGATGTAGATTCGTTATAAAAGTGTGATTCATATTGAATTTGCATATTAATAAGATTACCTACTTCAGAGAACAATTGCAGTATGACCAGGTATATAAATTAATACAAATGAACTTTTCATTCTCGAATATACCCTAATAAAGTACCATATTGTGAAGTACCCTTTCTGATCACCGATCTCTGATCTATGCACATTTTGGAACATAAAAGCGCTCTCGTAGGAAACAACAAATTTTGTTGGCCAATTTAACTGACAATAACAAACTTGTACTTCTAATGTATTGACCTTGGTCACGTGTTACTCCCGTACTAGGTCGTACCAACAGAGGACAGGCACAGAGTCTGCTGTTTTACCCACGCGACTGGGCTCGTGCATGGGAGGCCAATATTATTATGAATCCATCTATAAAATACTAAACGTAATTCTGATATTTCATTCAATGTAACAGTCGTCTCAGTTTGCAAGTGGTTCACTTAATATTAGAATTATCAGACAGAGACTGAAATTGTTGAGGACAGAACAAAATCAACGTTGCTTTTTGCTAATAAACAGCCAAACATTTGTCAAATAGATGTTTATTTCTCAAGGATGGTTTGTCGTGCTGTAGGACAGGGACTACGAGTGGCTTGTGCGAGCCCCTTTTTAATTTGTAACTAATTTTCTGAGCCCTTCGTTATCGGCCCAAAAATATTAAGTTACACACAAACATCCTTAAATCGATATATATTTCCGGTCCCTACTACTAATGTTAAAACGAAAAAGGAAATGTAATACTACTCAAAATGGTACAAATTAATTTTCTGCACTCGGTAATATCAACGTGATTGCTGCCGAAAGACGTGAAATGCAACCATGATGACGCAATTACCCATGATCCTCTGCGCATGCTCGGAAACGTGTTTATGTTGCTAGTAGAGTGACGGATACAACTGTTCAATGTAACTAAATATACTTGGTCGCCCTGATGACGTCATTGCTTTACGAGTTCTTTTTGGAACACCTTATTGTTACATGGTTAGAGTGTAACATATCCTAAATGCAATTATCCCTTGTTATTATTAGACAATAATTGTTAAAATTATAATGTTTTTAAGCGTGGTTTCCGTTTTCTTATCAGTAGTGTCAAACAATGATGTGCACATGGGGAATTCCTCATGTTGTGGCAGATCACATGGAGCCCTGGTGAATGAGGGGTCAGTTTTGGACCGTGTCATTTCACAAGCTTCTGATCATGATGAATGCTTGTTGTACAGGTACTTTCTTGTTCATTCAGAGATGTATATTTTTGATTATGTTCTCGCTCTAAAACCAGCATGTATAGCATTTAATGAAGTACAGTTATCGTATGTTACGTTAATATGAATTGAAATTTTTGTATAATTCTACCCATAAATTAATCTGAAGATTCTGATGTTGCCCTAATGATTGATGCAATAAGAAACTATGAAATGTTTTTTCCCCCCAATTTATGAGATCACACAGTGCAACATCCCAGAAGACAAGTCATTTTCAATGTCGATTCATTGAAACAATAGTCTTTAGTTACGTAGAGAATACTGGTGAAATATCTAACTGTACACAAAATATAAGAATATGAATTTTAATAGTTCTGTTAGTTTTGAAATATTTAAAATATACACCTTAAAATTTAAAGACAATCAGAAACATTATGTTCAGAAATAAATTGCTACGAGCATATTTTTCTGCCAAACTCTAGTTTATCTTAAGATATATGACATAATTTTAATATCTCTAAAACAATAACGAGAGAGTAATATGAAGAACAAGATGATTGGAAATGTGACATATGCAATTATTGATTATGTGCAAGACATATTTAAGTTGTTTATCTATAAAAGAGTAAAACTGTCCTGCTACACGCCATGTAGGCGATTGGGGGGGGGGTGTCTCCGAAACTTTGGGCTTCTGTCCACAACTGACAAAGCTATTTGCCGAAGTGGATGTTATTGTGTTGCAAGCTTCAAGTCTTAAATTAAATATGTTACACGTGTTTATAATTTTAATGTTTTTGCCCTCAGGCTTGCAAATTATAAAAATGGCGGCGAACTTATTGATGCTTACAATGTGGGAGGCCAAGCTGAAGTGGAGAAATTGATAAAAGAACAGTTTGGAGTGTTGATGTATGCAGATGGGAAAGGACAGGTTATAAACAGGGCTGAGTATTTACGATGGAAGTTCAGAGGCCAAGAACAGGTAATGTTCACTAAACATGAATGTAACAGACTGAGTTTTCCATTGCTGATAATAAAGTATGTTTGCTATAGTTTCATTTTCACTAACATTTTCTGGTACTTGTAGGTTATCGGGACACATCGCTTTAAAAATAGGTTAGGTTAGGTTAATGTGTGTGGATAAATGACATATACTTGAAAGTTATTATATTTTATTTCAATAAATGACAACTAACCTAACCCAACCTAACCTAACGTAACCTAACCTAAACTAACCCAACCTAACCTAAACTAACGTAATCTAACCTAAACTAACCCAACCTAACCTAATCTAACCTAACCAACCTAACCCAACCTAACCTAATCTAAACTAAACTAACCTAACCTAACGTAACCTAAACTAACCCAACCTAACCTAATCTAACCTAACCTAACCTAACCTAACCCAACCTAACCTAACGTAACATAACCTAAACTAACCCAACCTAACCTAAACTAACCTAACCTAACCTATTTTTAAAGTGATATGTCCCGATAACCCACAAGTGCTCATTTTCTTAATAGATGAAACAGAATAATTACCTTAGATTCGACGATGTTATTTTTGACACAGAGGTGTTGTAAAGAACGGTGGGACCACGTGTTTTATTTTTTTAGGTAATTCTTCCAATTGAAGCATCGTTGAGTCAACATGATCCACTTGCGAAGTGGACTGACCATGAAGCATGTTGGCAAATGCAGTACCGTGGCTCACTGGGTGAAACGCTACTGCATGTACTCATCATATGCGACACAAAGGTTCACACACGGCTAGCTCGCACTCTGCTGAAGTGTTTTCCAAAATTATCTATAGACGTTGTAGAGGGCGAAGAATACTTGGGAGCTAGTGCTTTGCACCTAGCAATCGCCTATGCTAATAATGAACTCGTTCAGGACCTCGTAGAAGCAGGAGCGAATGTTTCACAAAGAGCCATAGGTATGTATATCTGAAAATTCGGTTGGACTTCTTGGACGAGGCATCGGCCCGTCACAAGGCCTCTACCATGTACACAGGACAGCACAACACAGAAAAATG